ATTTGCCAAAGATTTAATTCAGTAAATTTTAACAGATCATCGTGAATCAACTTAATTTTGCACATTCCGTGGAAGAGGTTTGTACCGGACCCATGATATCTGTGATTACGCGCATCAGAGTACGTGTCGTCTACGTCATTTAGCGCAAGGGAGCTGTCGTGAATGTCTGCATACCCTTCAGACACCCGGCATGCAATGATCTAATATCTTGCTCAATCATCGGTATGCCTTTGATCGAGCGCTATGTGTTGAGCAAAGCAATCACATTCGGGTGTCCCATGCGAGTATGCAAAAGCTGTCGCTAGGTCTTAGCCCTGAAGTTCACCATGAACATGCTTCTTTTTCTTTTTAGTTGAGCAAGTACCCTTTTCCGAAGCTTTCACTTAATTCAATCGTCTTTCTCTGTTCCAGATGACACGAAGAACGCGTGACTTCTACACTCATGCCGCGTTTCGCAAGCTTGACTAATGAAACAATCCTCTGCCAAGTTCTGGAATATACAAAACATTAATCATGCAATATCCATCTAACACAAACTGGTCAATTTCATTGTGACATTTTCTTGGCGAGTGAGGTTTTGCTTTCTGCAATTGCAACTTTGATGCTTGTTTAAATATCTCTTCTCTTCTTGTATTCGAACAAGTCCTTCATGTGTGTGAGCTGCGGTACCGCTGTAGAAAATTTAATCTGCTGATCGTCCTTATCCAAACACTGCGTCATCACTGTTTGAACGTTTTCCAATCGGTTAGTTTCGCTTCATGTTGCCAACTTGGTCACATCAAAGCACTTGCCCTTATATCCGCCTTGCGAGCGGCGACACCTTTTTGAACGTTGGCTTGGCCTCATTTTAAAATCCCCGCATTCCCATTTATATAGTCTTTATCCGTAATCTGTTTTTTGTGAAGCTTCTACTACAGTGTGATTCGCATTTTCCACAATTGATAGAAATAATTCATACTTCGACGTCAGACGACGGAAAAGTAATATTAGCTGGTACAAGATCTCCATTGACTCTCCAGTTGTCTGTAGACCCACTACTTGTTCTTCAAAGGAGTCTTGATATTCCTCCATCATGTACCACTTTTCCATCTCGAAGTCATGAAGTCGTCATGTCATCGTCAAACGATTGCGCAGTGTCGAGCGATTGTAGAAATTACGTAGCTTCACACATGTCTCACTGGCACTCGCGACTGTCCTAAGCTAAATCTGACGTAGAATCTCATCGCCTTGTATAATGATTCCCAATTCCTTAGCATCAAGCATATATCATGTCCAAGAGATATTGATCTCACCTTTGACGGTCATGACGTTCCCTTAGAAGACCCATCCTTGCCAGAGTCATCCTCATCTTAAACTCCCTGTGTTAGTTTACAACCCCCCGGGAGAACTTCGGTGCCCCTGCGTGCCATCATGTGCACAAACACTGCAAAAGGAAGGTCTGGTTGCGGACGTTAATTTGCAGATTTCATGGTGAAACTCAAACCGAAAAAGTGAAATATGTAACAATATCTCTCTCGACCTAACATTGTCATATCTATATCGAATTGCCCTGCCATAATAACAAACAATCTGGTAAGTTATTTATCAAGAAGAACAAGTAGACGTAGATACTTGGTAGTTGCCCTACCGTGAGCCATAAGCACCTGAAATTAATTTTTGTCTTTTGAAGATTGAGAAATCTCGATCATGAATGTGGAGCCACCTGGCATTGATCACTGGACTAATCTGAGTAGTGTTGCCACTCAGTGCTGTTATCTGGTACTAACCAGATTAGCCAGTAGTCCCCGGTTTGATCTCCGTCAAGAATAAGCCTTCCTATACCGACCGAGATCCCGATTTAAAAAGTAAGACAACTTGTGTACAAGCAAAATTTATAACGCTTTCAAAAAAGTAAAACGATAAGTACTCACTCAATACAATTCACTCACTAGCTCTAATTCAAATCTGACCACGGGGTGGGCATTTTGCACAAAGAATAACCTTGCTTAAATCAACAATCGCCTGGGAAAATATGAAGGCAACATACCAAATTATAATAGTATATTCGACCAAGGTGAATTTTTGATCAGATCGGAAATGCAGAATTAGGCTTTATGCATGTGGTAAAGATGTATAGCTGCAAACTCCTTTTCTCTTACATTATGAGCGAGGCCATCTCAACCCTGATTCCAAGCCTCGACGTTATCGTTTACCAAAGAAGCAGGAAAGAATTATCTTAGTGCGTTCATTGCTGAATTGGTTTTGTATGTGAATAATATAAAAACGATGGTATTGCACCGCTAAATGGCCCGATACGGTGGTTATGTGATCGCGGTTTCATACCACGGTTCAAGCACGTCGGTCACGACTATTACCTTCGGATGTAATTACGGATATGGTAAGAGGCGTTCATAAATTTACATAAACAACAATTCTTTAGCAGCTTCTACAAGGATCGAGAAGGATAGGTTTAGGGTAGCACAGTTAGCGAACTAAGGACCTAAATATATTCACTTTGGTTTTTGAACTCTGTTCAACAGGTTAACAGCCGCAACCAAGTCCTCTTCTAATCTACGTCCTTCTTGTCATGGTCAACAAGGAAACCGAAGTCCTCCTGGGGGAGTGGTAACTACTACCACTGGGAATTTAACATGATGATGACTCTGGCAAGAAAGGATTTCTCGAGGCACATTATGGCCGTCAAGGATCTGAACGACATCACGGAGACCTACCTTATGAACGACGCCAAGGCGCTTGGTATGTCGCGCAGGGTGTTGAGATTCAACACCAGAACCAGATTCGGTCGGCTACGCGTGCCATAGAGTCCTGGGGGGCCTTTGTGATTTCTACAATCACTTGACGCTTTACAATCGAGTGACGATGACGCGGTAAATCGACAATTTGACGATGGAAAGGGATACAAGCATGGCAGAACATCTGTACACGTTTGACGAGCTAGTAGTGAGAATCCAGACTATGGGAGAGCCGATAGATGAGTCACGCCAGCTGGTGGTACTTCTGAGGAATCTGCCGTCAGAGTACAAATTAATTTCGCCGTTTGTGGAGAATGTGAAGCAATAACGCAAATTGCGGTCAAGGAGAAGCTGCTCAAGGAATCAGAGAATATACAAAGGAAGGAAGCCGTGAAGAAAGAGCTTTACGTAAAATGGAAGCGCTAGAAAATTCAAAGGTGGAAGAGACAATGAACGAAAGGGAGATTGTCATGGAAAAACAGTGGATTTGAAGGCAAGGGCTTCAACTGTGACAAGTTTGGACACATGAAGCGGAACTGCACGGCCGGGAGGGGATCTGACAGCGACGACGGGGTGTTTGCTGTTGGTGAAGGAAAAACAGCGGTGCAATTATCCGACAATGGAGCCATTTCCCACATGACCCCCGCACAGATAGGACTTGCTCAATTACAAGGCCCTTAAAGCAAGCGTTGAATTGACAATTGCAGACGGCAAGAAGTTAATCGTTAAAGGAGCCGGCACGGTGAAAGTGACCGGTTTTGACGGAGAGGCAAATTACACGATTGAAGCTCTGTACATTCCAAGACACGACAGAAGCTTACTGTCAGTCGGCAAGCTTGCGGGACGTGCATGAGTGTTGAGTTATCGCGTTCTTCATGCGTCATATAGAACAAGGATTAAGTAATTGCTTCGGGTACAAGAAATGGAAAGGCATAATTGCTTGACTGTGAGCAAGAAGAAACATGTCTTGTGGAGTATCCGGGGGTCACAGCCAGTAGAAGCTTTGGCATGCTCGCATGGGACACCCAAGCAAGGATGCACTGATCAAGACGAAGCGCTCGACGAAAACGATAAAGAAAGACACGAAAATGTTATATGGTGGATGTTTGAAGGGCCAGCAGACAGTCACCACATTTCTTTTAATTTTAATGAGGAAGACAACGCGTGTACTCGAGTGCGTGCATACAGATGTCATGGGTCCAATGAGGATTAAATCGAAGGGTGTTGCCAAGTACAGTTTAATGTGTGTGAATGATTTTTCAAAGTATGTGGCGATAATCCTGATCAAGAGCAAGAGTGAAGTGGCTGGCAAGTTCAAAAGATTCAAGCCGTTTTTTGAAAATTGATGGGTACACGTCTGTAGGGTTTGCGATCCGACAATTGAACAGAGTTTGTAAACAAAACATTGACTGACATATGTCAACAAAGCGGCATCATGCACCAGCGTTCCGTTCCATACAGCCCTCACCATAACGGAGTGGCAGATGGTATGAACAGGACAATCATGTAGAAAGCCCGGATTATGCTGCGTTACAATGCCATTTCGACAGAATGGTGGGTGGAAGCGGTGATTACGGTGGTTTACCTAATGAATTGCTCCCCAAATACAGCTCATCCTGTTTTCACGCTGTACGAGTTGGCTTTCAAGGAAAAGCCCCAAATGGATCACTTTCGCGTGTTTGGATCGCAAAGTTACGCTCATGCCGACGCTGTCAAAAGGATTAAGCTGGAACCCAAGAGCTTCAAGTGTATGTTACTCGGCTACGCGGAAAATGTAAAGGGCTATCGCGTGTTTGACTTGAAAAATGCCAAGGTCAAAGTGACCTGTTATGTGAAGTTGGATGAGCGTGAAGTCAATGGAATCGACGACACTCATGCGCTAAAGCCAGCCACAATTGTTCAAGTAATCGAGGACAATGATGAAGTCAAGATTCAGCATCAAGTGGATATACAGCCTATGATAGACAATCCCGTGGAAACTGTGAAAGAGCCAGTTATAGATGTCAAAATGGGAGATATCGAGCGAACGCCAAGCGTTGATGTAAATCATCTAATGGCTTCTGAGCGCTCCATCGTAAACTCTTTGGGTTTTACCTTCTATTCAACACAGATCTTGCCGATAAAAATTAAGTGTAGCAAGTTTTATCCTGCCTTTATATTTGTTGTTACGGATCACATCATGACTGCATGAAAATCAATCTTTTGAAGAGGCCAATTTTCAGTCATCCCTCAGATAAATGATAAATGCGGTCAAAAAGAATTTCTATGATTAAGTCAAGGTTATCAGTTATCCAAGTTCGTATGAGTTATTATTTGGCTACAAACAAAGAAGATTGGTAGAAAGATTGTCTATTAGTTATACAACGTTCACCCGGATATGAACTATCTGAGGGACAACTGTATCAACAATTCCTTATATACATTCGACGGTCAATATAGAGTATATAAGGCGACTTATCGTAAAATTTTTGCTCAATTTGTTGCGACGATCACGAAAATCTTTTAATTGCTTGTAGAAATTATACACAGGTAAGCCATGAATGACAAATCCCTAAATCAAGCATTCGCATGTACCGTTAGAGTTGATTAAAAGTGTGGGAACGCTAATGCTGGACCTTATATCGTCAATTTGATATTGACGAAGAAAAGCAACAAAAACGGCGGATCTTTTTTGACCACCGATTAGCAAAATGGCCTGAATAAAATGACCCAATTCTTTTGTACGTCACACAACATGTTCGCTCTACTCCAATTGTTTTCTTTTGGCGCGGCAGCTAATTTACTTTCTTTGAATCACGAAATTCATGTAAATTAACATGAACGAGAGGCAGTAACATTACGGGTGTTACACTTTCAGATATTACGTGCATTCAAGTACCACAAAGTGATATGATCCGCTGCTGCTAATTTGGATGCACTTGTACCAACACCAAAGCCGCCCATTAATTTCTTTCTTCTTCCTTGCTGACCTCGTCATTTAAGCATTCGAAAGCGCTAGCACTATGATGCTCTCCATTGATTGCTTCCATGCTTTTGGAGCTATCATATTCCGATTTTCACATCATCTTCGCATGTGGCAGTGGCGAAATGCCTGGTCTTGGTATATGTGGAACTCCATTTGTTAGCGGGATCACATCCCAACTCGCTGGCAAGAGCGTCTCGTCATATGCAGTTGAGTATTCGGCTTCAATAAGCCAAGCAAGTGCTGGTCCAGGTGCTACAGATATGACAAAGCACGTCGTGGGTGTGGCACAAGAGTGTCCGAACACTGTGTTTGTGCTTGGTGGTTACTCACAAGGTGCCAGCGTCACCGATATTGCCATCGGAATTAGCACATCGCTTGGTGTCGGTGAATATATTCCAGAGACTTTGGCTCCTCGTATCAAGGCTATCGTGACATTTGGTAATCCATTGAAGCTCCAAGGTCAAACTATCGAATCATCGAGCCAGCTATACGGCTCAAAAGCAATTGAATACTGCAATCTGGGCGATCCGGTTTGTGGCAACGGTTTCAACACAATTGCACACATGACCTATCCAACGGATGGTAGTGTGGATAAAGCGGCTGCACAAGCTGCGGCGTTGGTCCAGGGAGGTGGTAATTCGTTGCGTGGATGATTTGGAAAACAAGTTTGTTCTGGTTTGAAAAACCAAAATGTCAGTCTGACAGACTGACAGTGTTCAGTTGTGTGTGATTGATTATACACCGTCGTACTTAGTCTAACTTTAGGTAATGTCGATAGTGTAGATCTTGATTACTGAGAGAAATCATGTCTGATAAGCTTTCAAATACAATACTTTTTGTCAACAACTAACATGGAGAGTCCACAACAATCTACGTAATCTGTACAAGACAATGCGTCTGAAAAAAAGTTTCGTGAAAGCATGATTTTATTGCCTGTCTTGATTTGTTGATAAAGATCACGTCGTTCCTTTCTATTTAACTAACGAAATAATCCACAGTGCAAGCCATGATATCAACACGCTTAAGCATGCCGTCATCGGCTATCAAACAGTACGTCCTGTAGGTCCCGTAACACACTTGAGAATCTTCATCGATTCCACCGCGTCATTGGCCAAGGGCTATAGGCGGTAGTAAAAGACATGATACGCAGTTGAGGTGTGCAATTGATTTCAAAATCATTTTGGAATGCGTACCCTGGTCTTGCAAACTACAAAGCTTGAGCCAGTCAAACAACTTGGGCTATCAGCTATCAGCTACCAGCATCCACATAATAAAACAACCGATTTAAATTGATTCACTTGAACACAGCCAAGCCCTGGACTACTTGAGTGTACTATCTATTCTTTTCTCATGTACTCTCGAGGACAAGGATTGATTATTTAGCGAGAAATAGCTCTCGGGTTATCAGCAAGCTCATGAGAACAGGGTTCTTATTCGTTTCGTCAAGGAGTTGCTGAGATCTTCACAACACGATTATAGAGGACGACGATCCGTTTCGTGGACGGCCAATCGGTCTTGACATTCAGAACATCGTTCAAACACAGGGGGCAATGCGTCTCCAGTTATCGGAACAAAAGTGGTTGACTGCGAATGACGACAAGGACAGGACACGAAACAAACGACAGAATTGGTGCTGCATTGAATTACGTGCAGGTGTAGTATGTAACTTTACTTCACAATCAAGTTCTCAGCATGATATATTTTTGTTTGCAACTTCGCTTCGTTGTTTTCATACCAGGAATCCGCGAAACCTTTCATAAATAAAATAAAGGCAGTTAAGCTCGACGACAGGCGAAAGATTAGTACTGGTCAGGCAGCTAAGGTTTAGTTATGAAGTTATTCATAACTTGCCGCCACCACTAGATATTTATATACACGCATGGGCAATGAGAGGGAGAACGTTTATGGCCACAAAATAAGAGCTTCATGTAAGAAATTTTAAGAATGAATAATCTCAGAATGCGAATAAATGATGATAACTTTCTTGCTAAACCTTAGCTGCCTGACCAGTACTAACCTTTCGCCTGTCGTCGAGCTTTACTGCCTTTATTTTATTTATGAAAGGTTTCGCGGATTCCTGGTATGAAAACAACGAAGCGAAGTTGCAAACAAAAATATATCATGCTGAGAACTTGATTGTGAAGTAAAGTTACATACTACACCTGCACGTAATTCAATGCAGCACCAATTCTGTCGTTTGTTTCGTGTCCTGTCCTTGTCGTCATTCGCAGTCAACCACTTTTGTTCCGATAACTGGAGACGCATTGCCCCCTGTGTTTGAACGATGTTCTGAATGTCAAGACCGATTGGCCGTCCACGAAACGGATCGTCGTCCTCTATAATCGTGTTGTGAAGATCTCAGCAACTCCTTGACGAAACGAATAAGAACCCTGTTCTCATGAGCTTGCTGATAACCCGAGAGCTATTTCTCGCTAAATAATCAATCCTTGTCCTCGAGAGTACATGAGAAAAGAATAGATAGTACACTCAAGTAGTCCAGGGCTTGGCTGTGTTCAAGTGAATCAATTTAAATCGGTTGTTTTATTATGTGGATGCTGGTAGCTGATAGCTGATAGCCCAAGTTGTTTGACTGGCTCAAGCTTTGTAGTTTGCAAGACCAGGGTACGCATTCCAAAATGATTTTGAAATCAATTGCACACCTCAACTGCGTATCATGTCTTTTACTACCGCCTATAGCCCTTGGCCAATGACGCGGTGGAATCGATGAAGATTCTCAAGTGTGTTACGGGACCTACAGGACGTACTGTTTGATAGCCGATGACGGCATGCTTAAGCGTGTTGATATCATGGCTTGCACTGTGGATTATTTCGTTAGTTAAATAGAAAGGAACGACGTGATCTTTATCAACAAATCAAGACAGGCAATAAAATCATGCTTTCACGAAACTTTTTTTCAGACGCATTGTCTTGTACAGATTACGTAGATTGTTGTGGACTCTCCATGTTAGTTGTTGACAAAAAGTATTGTATTTGAAAGCTTATCAGACATGATTTCTCTCAGTAATCAAGATCTACACTATCGACATTACCTAAAGTTAGACTAAGTACGACGGTGTATAATCAATCACACACAACTGAACACTGTCAGTCTGTCAGACTGACATTTTGGTTTTTCAAACCAGAACAAACTTGTTTTCCAAATCATCCACGCAACGAATTACCACCTCCCTGGACCAACGCCGCAGCTTGTGCAGCCGCTTTATCCACACTACCATCCGTTGGATAGGTCATGTGTGCAATTGTGTTGAAACCGTTGCCACAAACCGGATCGCCCAGATTGCAGTATTCAATTGCTTTTGAGCCGTATAGCTGGCTCGATGATTCGATAGTTTGACCTTGGAGCTTCAATGGATTACCAAATGTCACGATAGCCTTGATACGAGGAGCCAAAGTCTCTGGAATATATTCACCGACACCAAGCGATGTGCTAATTCCGATGGCAATATCGGTGACGCTGGCACCTTGTGAGTAGCCACCAAGCACAAACACAGTGTTCGGACACTCTTGTGCCACACCCACGACGTGCTTTGTCATATCTGTAGCACCTGGACCAGCACTTGTTTGGCTTATTGAAGCCAAATACTCAACTGCATATGACGAGACGCTCTTGCCAGCGAGTTGGGTTGTGATCCCGCTCACAAATGGAGTTCCACATATACCAAGACCAGGCATTTCGCCACTGCCACGAGCAAAGACGATGTGAACATCGGTACACTGCCCAAACACGGTGGCAGGATTAAAGAACATCAACACGATAGCTCCAAGAACATGGGAACAAGAAATAGAGAAATTCATGGTCTCGACGCTTTGAATGCCTTGATGACGGGAACTCTAATCCGGAAGACAGAAATTTACGAATGGCTTTCGTATCTGTTGCTGAAACACGAAGTCAGAATGTTTGTCATGATCCTTTGTCATCGTCCTTTACGTTGCTAGATCTATACCAAATTAATATTCAAAAATGGTGTACAATCTGGTATTCAAAGGATAAAAAGGACGAAGGGACGTACGGTGAGGTCATCCGTAAGAAATGGAGAAGACTTAGCATGGTGACACCCTAGTTGTGCCCGTTATCATAAATGTACATATGGCTAATCTGAGTTCATTTTAAGACTTCAAAACTTATTTATGACATGTAGCTGCAATATCGGGTTTCAACAGCACTGAGCGGCGTCATCCCAACACTCACATTCGCCTTTGATTTTTGTTTATTCCTTTTATTAGTTTGGCTTTCATACCCGCTACCTCGCGTAGTTCCGAGTGCCTTTTTAGCGTATCTGCAAGCTATATTTACTTCTTGCACGTTTAAGCGGATTTAATGGTGTCTGATGTCCACATGCATCGCCCGACCACTGTATCTGGTGTTGTTGGTTAAAGTGATCGCTCCCGGTTGCTTTTCACAGCTGCATGCCTTCTGCTTTCCCGTAACCCATGTCCTCAAACAAATCACGTCGTTGAAGAACTTTTGGGTGCAAAGGCCGAAAGCCATTTACTCAGCCACCGCCGAGCTGAGCGCAGCTGTTCGCTGGTAATATGATTTAAATACCACTGGCGTTTCTGGAACTACGAACATATGCCGAACGCATGTCATCGGTATTGCTGCTGCTTTAATCAGCATTTGAATTTATTTTAAACTCAATGCTACCACTGCTTGAGCAGTCAATGCCGGTTAGGCGTACAGCCTTTAGGTAGCGTGACACGAATATAGCTACATTTCCAGAGTTGAAGTCAGGGCTCTCCAAGAAAAGTAGACAGCAGTGTCATCACGTATGCAACATTCGGTTAAATGCATGTCATTACGTACAGCAGCCATTTAATCAAGAAGTGATACGGCTTCGAGTGCATAACCGATTGACCCTCTGCGACTGCGCTGACGACAATTTCAATCCTGATGCGTATGGATTGTCGACACCCTTGGAATCTCGTTGACCGAACCGACTGTCTACGTCGTCGATGTAACTAGTCTGTGTCATCGTAAGTGTTTTAATTGACTTGTCGTGGTCAATCTCCATATCCAAAATCAACTCCGCCCTGTCCAGCTTCTTCATCTTCAAAGCATGTTTCCGCACTTTGACCCGATCGATCTATATGATTTTGCTGCAACAATCAGGTCCCAACCGCGGAAGTTGAAGCCATTGTCACAAAGGGTCGATATATTTTCTTGTTACGGGTACTTAATGCTTCATTCAACCTAAATATAGCCTTTTATCGCTGACATGCTTTTTCTGAGCATTGTCGGCACCAGGCGGAACTTTGTCTGCCAGCACACTGTTGAAAAAAGCAGCATTGGCATCCAATGGTTCAATTTGCAAGTCACATCGGGACGCACTGAAGTATCATTCGAATAGTTTTCATGTTGGCAATCCCGGAATTAGTCCTGATAAAATCGATTCCATACTTTTGCTAGAGACCCATCGCGACAAGTCGTGCCTTGCACCATTCGACAATGCCATTTTGATTACGCTTTTTGGCAAAGACCATTTCAGATCCAATTGTGCGATTGAGTCATCTTCTGTATTATCTCCACGTTATCACCATGTACGCAAGAACAGCATCGGCAGTGGATCACTGCTCGTGAATCTTAGCAAGTTTCGGTATCAAAGAGTCATCATCACATTTTGTTGTCTCTTCATCATCTTAGCCGCTCCTTAGTCTCATCAACTGCTCCTGTTTAAATCTCCTTCGCCCCACTGCAGGTCAAAACATCAACAAAATTCTTGAAGCGTATGAAGCAATGGATAATTCGCGATAATCTTTAAAATATTTATAACAGAATGCTCGGAAGTCATCAGCTGCTGCTTGTTGGCACTTGGTGTCGGATCAACATCGTCCATTTCGATGTCCCTTACTGGGCCTTCGCGGAATTTCATAGGCTCATTCCGAACAAGCTAATGATTCACTTGGTTTTGAACACAACCATCATCAATGTCCTTTATCATTTGAATGCTTGTAATCTGGCTGTAGAGTATGCATATTCAATCTCACATAACGAAACACTTCAATATTGACATCCCCCAAGACAAATACGCGATAACTCGTAACATATTTGCATTAACGAGAAAAATACGTAATTTTTGGGCTCAAGCTTTGTTTTTTTGGATAGTCAACACGAGCGTAACCCTGCTCCCAAAAATGCAAAATTTATCTACGCGAGAATTTATCTTGAAAGACAGATTCTAAATTTGCAGAGTTATTAATCGTATAAACTGCTGTGTTCGCCGCTCCGCCACCCATTCAGTCGAATCATTTTTGTCGCAGAGCGTACAGCAGCTTCTTTGCATAATATTTATGCTAACGCGCTGACTATTCTATTTGGTCAAAGGCTATATGGCACAGGACGGTGGTGGACGATGCCACTCCGACGACAAATGTCTACGATTCTTTGCGCACAATTTTGTTCTATTGTTGGTATCCAAGCATTTGAGATGAACACCTCAATATCTTGCTAAGGAGTATTGA